ATCAACCACAGAAACTTGCCACAAATCCAAACAACGTTTCAGGGATGTGATACGATGTCTGTTGTGTATGTGTCGTCTTCCAAGTACGCAGATCTTTGGTGGCACACTGCCTGGTTCTGACCGGGATCTGTGTGTGTATGGGAATGGAAACTTCCTGGAAGGAGCGTGTTGGGTGGCATGGTGCGTGAGTGAATTTTGGGTGTCACTATTTGTTTTGAGTGTTGGGCTGACTGTCCTGTCTCACAGCTGATGGATGCTCTTCAGGCTGGAAACATGTGGTACAGACCTACAGCGAGTTCTTTTACTTGGTCTCAGACCACTTTAATTACATTTCACAGAACACACAGTCGATTTACATATCGTACTGTGTATTCTGTTTAAAAATACACAGGTGGTATTTTATTTTAAGATAGTGAAACAACTGTCCTATTTATTTTGTAAAAAAAAAAAATTATTGTATAATTACAAAAAATATTACCCATAACCTTTGCTTAATCTTTCCAAAATACAGTATTCTCTGCATTTATTTGTCTTTGTTTTATCGCTACCTACCTACGGTGCATCTTTATTTTTTATCTCTCCTTCAAGGCAAAGCGTTCCCTTTGGTTTTTCTTAAAACAGCAGGCATCTGGATTCCCAGGGATACTCCTCATACTCTTCAAATGTTTGCTCTCAATATTTTTATTAAATTTATTATTATTATTATTGCCAGCATCACCAGTCTGCTGGTGTTTATGGCGAAAGTGTCGCTGCGGTCACATTTAATTAGGGTTTTGAGGGTTTTGTGTCTGTTTGCACAACAGTAACTGCAGTTTGTGGGTTCAAACAAATATTGTAGAAGTGGGTGTGTTTTCTGTGAGTCCACTGCACTGTGTGTGTGTGCGTTGCCAGATGATGCACGAGTGACCTGAAATGCTCTGCTGTAATATGCAGTGGAATGCAGGGAGATTGTAAAAAGACACAGAGAGGATCAGTAGATACAAATAACAGAGATAAAAGAACAAAGGTAATAACAGCAGGTCTGGTACTGAGCGGAGGAAGACCTGCTGTGTTGTCCAGCCTTTTACTGGAACAATAATAATAAAAGATTAGTGAATGATATTATATTTGTCATTAATAATATTTTCCCGATGCTTTAAAATCACCTGTTGGTGGTCAATTTAACTAAATTTAAATTTATTTGATGAAAAACTGCCAAACACCAACAGCCAATATGTCAGATTACACATCAGGGTTTCAACCTAGTCACCACAGCATATAGTGTAAAACAAGACTGTTTAATTTAAATCCGCGATTATCCTTGAATATAGTTTAAGCTACAAAGACATTTTGTGAGAGAGAAATGGCTAACTTAAAAAAAGGGTCTGTTTGTCCAAGGTTCCGTGAAACAGAACAAAGTCAATTAAATGTTCAAAAGCAGCAACACTGGGAGACTTTTTCTAACCGTCTCTATAATTTAATAAAGTGAAGCAGGAAGAGGACTGGTGTGAGAAGGAAAGGAGGTGGGATACAGTTGCACAACATATTTACAGTAAAGTGACCTCAGATGCTTTAAATGGCTTCAAGCCAGGAAAAAAATAAAATAAAAAAATCAGTCAATTTCACTGTGGCCTTGGGTTAAAAAACTTTAAGTCACTTAAAGATTTCACTGTAAAGATACCTTTGTTCCCTCGGTCATCACCCCAGGAGTTTTCCACCCTCCACTTCTTGTAGCCTTCCTTCTCTTCCTAAAAATGAACCAGACACAGATGATGGAATAAAGAAAAGGAAGTGACAACATAAGGGTCCTGAGAGCTGAAATTACTCAGAAGAGAAATTGACAGACAAAGAACAGCTGACTGAGGCAGTTCAAATTTGAAACCAAGCTTGTGATCCCACCGTTTCTGTGACAGCGGTGAGAACCATAGCATGGGTCATCAGTGAATCTCCAAAAATTAGTCGCTCTGCTTTGGAGAGGTTCTTCAATGAAACACCAAACACCAGCTCATGGTTGAACCTGGAATTAAACAAACATCAAAACAAAATTAACAAACCACCAGATGTGTCTCAGCTGAGAATATTTTAAACACAGCCTGATATTTTGTGATTCATATTAAAGTGGGTTGACTGAAATAACCAAGAAAAGCCAAAAACTTCAGCCTTATTTAAATGTTTATATACGGACAAATAAGGTGCGCAGACATTGTTTAATACCTCTTTAACAAATCAGAAAATCACACCCATTAAAGAAATATGGTAACAATTAAAGAACCATGAGGACAACAACATAAACCGTATCCCTGTTTAAATTTATACTCACGCGTTCATGTCGTTAATGCCCAGCTTGCTGTGGAAATGTTTCCCGACATCACACCCGAACCATACAGCCTAGGAAAAAGAAGCTGAATTTTAAATCTATATAAGAATTCACATGTTCACTTCCTACGGACCTACAGTTCATTAGTGTTTTTATCCTGACCTCTCCGTCCTTGATGGACTCTGCTGCTGCCTTTTTAAGCAGATGGATGGGTTGGTTGTTGTACAAGGTGCGTCGACCGTTGAGCATGTTACCCAGAAACTCGACGCTGTACAGCTTACCAAAAGGGTTCTGGGGTCGAGGGTCATTTACAAGGCAGACCTAAAGACATGGAGCAACAAGTCAGTTTGACACATAACTGATCAGAGTTTACATTAGCTTTGATTTGAACCTTCAGAGAACTATATTGTACTCTGAGCGTTGGTTTACACCATTTTTGCACACACTAAAGACCAAACTGCACACGTACCTTGTCTTCAATGTTGTACAAAGGTTTGACATGTTCCTTATAAAATTCCTGGGGAGTTAGAGGTCCGATACTATGAAAGTTCTTGTCCTTGTCTCTGAACTCCCAGCAGATGGTTTCAGGAGGGCTGCCGAGGCAAATGTTGGCCACTCGGAACACCTGTGACACCAGACACAGTCAGAACAGTCCTGGTTTTTACAAAACTCCATTGAACTGCATGTCATTCACAGGTGATGCATTACCAACATGTTCTTGGCTGAGTTTGATTTATGGTTCAGTGTCATGTGAAGTAATGCTTAAAGATTGCTTTACTCACACGGGCCGTAGGAGGCTTCAGAAACATTTGTAAATCAGTTTTACACTCATTTTAGAGATGTGTCCTGTCCAACTCCCCAAGAAAAACTCATCCAACTCCCCTATCATTTGGTCTCTACAATACGTTCCTGCCATTGCTCTTCTGAAATATGCCTCAGTTTCCTCGTCTGCTGCCCACACCCTAACTTCTCCCCATGGTCCTTCCTGCAGGGCTGAAGCTCAGACGGAGTTCCTGTGGGCTAAACTGAGATATTGGGATAGGGCTATCTGTTAACCTTGGCTTTTTAAACTGCTGTGTTGTCATCTCAGGAATTTCCCCATTATTATTTACATCTCGTGTCCTCTGTTTCCATCCCCTGAAACAGCAGGAGTTTTTCTTATACCATATAGCCGAGGAGACATTGAAACCCAGACATGACACTGTCAATCCAAATTTTAGTCTGCAGTGGTCACAGTTGCAATAGTAGCTATTAGTTGCACTGATAGCAGTGGATATCACTAGTGGATTTTAAAGTTCTTCATCAAGTTTTTTTTTATTAATGTCCTGAAAATGCACCTTTTCAGAGCTGGACGCAGAGCTCATGGGGTAGGGATTATTTTTGCAGGATGTGCTCCTGCAAAAAGATGACATTCCTCCTTTTGACTTTGTGGACGGTGAGGCCACTGCCCTCAACTCACACAAACTCCGGCACATGCTCACATCAAAATGCATAAATTCAAGGCTGACTTATCCAAACAAACTCTCCCTTCTTCATCACACAAATGCCTAGAAGTCCCCAGGGTACAGACTTACACAAAAATACACACGAGCTAAGTCAACATCTTCTCAACCAGCATGTTTTTTTTTTTTTTTTACTTACTACACCGCTGAGACTGCCCTAAATTTATAACAGCATGCCAAGGTGTCTATACTCTGGTCGGGTGTACAGAATGTTTGCCTAGATGCCCTCAGAACCTTTTGTAGACTGCTCTTTTCTACATCTCCATCCTCACTACTTTCTCCTTCATACAGTTTTTGATACTTTTTTTTATAAAAATAAATAAATAAATAAAACTGGTGTCCATCCACTCTGGTAACTAAAATCCTCACGTTCACATCTAAATGTCTCCTTTTAGAAGTCCATGTGATTTTCTCTGTTACTGCCAGCTCGGCCAAATGCTCGCCTACCTTCCTAAAGCATGGTAAATTAAATAGGTGTGAGGGAAAGGCTGGGTGAGAGAGGGAAGGCAGTCAGAGAATAAACAGTGAGAGTGACAGCTGAGCAGGATGGACACTGAAACACCTGCTGCTTCACTGACAGATTAACCTAAGGGGGAGGGAAGGAGGGAGGAGGTGGAGAGAGAACAGGAGAGGTGAGAGAGGTTTACAGACGTTGCATTTATGTGGAGCACTCAAAACTGAAACTTTTGCTCACAAACTGGTTTTGGTCTCTTTTGACTAAACTCTGGGTGTGATCCCAGGCCTCGTGGTTGTAGGACTGTTCAATCTCTTGCAATAGCCAGACTGCGGTTTGTTGAAGGTTCAATAATTCGTGCTCCTGGGTGCAGCCCACTGCTACCGTTTCATCAAAAGGTGGAATGCAGGAGAACAGTTTCCATGTTCGTAGGTATTCTAATACAATACTGTCTTAAATGTCTACTTTGGATGCTTGAGCAGTACATGATGGTTTACTGCAGGGGTCATCGACCATTTCTGCCAGAGGGCCAGAATGTTTCTGGGCTTGGGGCCAGACACCCAAGTCAAATGAAATAAAAATCACATTTTTGTCTAACATTATTATTTGATGTTTATTTTAGAATCCAGATGTGGGTCAGATGTAGTCCACCAAACCCTGCCATCTACTCACTCAATCTAAATTACATTTATTAAGCTAGACTGAGACTGACTTACAACTAAGTCAAAAGACTAAATCAAGATTAACTGCCAGAATAAGCACTGGTGTGTGTGCTTAGATAGCCGTCAATCATGCGTGTGACCAAACACGTCCATGTCCAAGAGGAGGAGCACTAAGCATCAGACGTAACATGAAAGGGAAACCTAAGCTTTGAAACTAATCCTCTCTGCCTCCATGAAATGGTGCATGGACTTCATCTTCTCTCATCTACTTATTCTGACCAAAGGTGCAGGTTAGAGTCTGTTTTTTTTTGTTTGTTTTTTAAATCTTGCCAAGACAGGAAGATATATTTGGTTCAGACAGACAAATGTGCTTTTGTAGAAGATAAAAAGAAAAGGTCATGAGAAGCAAAGCAATTCTTGGAAAATTAATTAGTTCTTTAAAAACGCAGTAGGGTTTTAGAAGACAGGTTGATCTCAGTTGTCTGTTGTTGTCAGATACATGAGGCTATCCCCACAGAGACATCTGTCATTAGGTGTTATTCCTGTGACTCAGACAAAGCTCAATTTATAATGAATACAATTTTGATCATGTCAAAAAAAACAACTATATTTTAAAAAAACAGGTATTTCCATGGTCACACAGCATGTAGACCAATGCATTCAAAGCCAAAACAGCGGCTCCGACCTCTTTGAATCTCCGTCACTGTATGCAGGACAGAGTGGTGTTCCATAAAGCACACCACTTCCCAGGTGGACAAACAGACACAAATGTCTGCCTCCCGCTCGGCTGTACAATTTGATGGGAGCCATCTTTGATGTTGCACAACAAATGTTTATGTGCAACAGTGTGTGGTACAAGCTGAGCATTCATACATGCAACTGTTCAAATAAGCATCTGGCCAGGAGCACAATAACAACAGTTGACAACAAGGGCTGCTTAACCAAGCCTCTGAACTGTGTGCAGTGGTCACAATAGGAAGCTGATTGACTGAGTGGCCTGTCAAACACCTCACTCACACAAACACGACACAGGGGAGAAAAATACTAGTGCACATACGCAGCAACACAGGTAATATCTATAGAGCATTATTCATTAATGTAAAATGTGTATTTACAATTAAAAGAATGGATTTTGAAAGTCTGTATGAATCTGTATTTTCTGATCTGCTTTATGACTAGTGCACTGTCATCCCCTGTTTTTATGCAGAGCTCTGACATTTTTCAGGCCCCAAAACTAAAGGAGAGATTGAGCATTGAGCCCCACTTGTGTTTCATAATAACCTAGATCTAGTGCCATGTACTAACATATCTTATTTTTATGCTTAACTGTGATTTAAATGATTGTGAGATTGGCTGACACCGAGGCTTGGATTATCAAATGGCACCCTCTTCTGGTAACACGAAAGTGGTGCACACGATTCACGTTCCTAAAATAACGGTGAAAACGTTTGATTTTCTATGAATAGAATAATAATGCCGTATTATTTTAACTTGAATTACGTTTCTACGTACATTATCGTCAGTCTTTAAAAACTGAAGAAAACAATAAAAGGAAAAGGAATTACGGTATTATTAAATTATTACCTCCAAACCCTGACTGCAGGGACATTTCTTAAAGTAATATATCATGTTTTTAATTTAAAAAAAAGTTTTTTTTTAAATGGCTCTCTTAAATATATCATGTTTTTAATTTAAAAAAATTTTTTTTTAAAATGGCTCTTAATGTTGGAGAAAGATTTTTTCTATTTCTCACCTCCTCAATCATTGTGTCCATAGCCTCCGACAGTTCAGCCTTCGTGGCTTCACTTTCCACCATATTCCTCAGTTTAAGACAGTATTCTCTCAGCTGAAACATGCAGCAAGATTAAAAAAACAACAAAAGACACACAGAGTTAGTACTAACCAAAATCATGTCAAATAAACAGATTATTTGACTGCAACAGCGGGATGAGTATAACACACCTTATGGTTGAGGATGTCATTCATTCTACGCGAAGCCTCTGTGCTGTGTGACTCTGGAAAGCATTTCTTTGGAATAACACCATACTTTTCTAAAAGGGTGACAAGACAGAACAGTTTTAATTGATCAGATAAAATATTTATTTATTTTCAAACACTACTAAATTGTTGATAAAATGCTAGAACAGACTAACCAATGAGGTTAACCAGCATGTCCCACTGTCCTCCATCATTGGTGGGATTGGAAAGAAGGAACTGGACCAACCGTCCGTCCACTGGCTCCTTCTTCTGTGCAGTCTCCACACAAGCTTGAAGATAGTAGTAACAACGCTCAATCTGTTGAAAAGATCAGGGATCAATACGGGTCAAGGTGGCTTTCTGAAAAAAATAATTATCTGTTATAACTTTTCGATCCAAATACAAAGTATGAAGATGGTGTATTAATTATTCCACAGATTTTAAATAACAATTCCATCACTATTGTTTACACTTGTTACCGAGGCTTAGAATGACAGTTTAAGGCCCAAGAGAGAAAACATGAGGAGATAAACACTGGTTTTTATGTTCTGTCATATTGACCTAAAAAAGCACTGACCAAGTAGAAAAAGGCAACAGGTGCAAAAACAAACTGACTAATTTTTCAATGTCTTTACCTTGTCCCAGAAAAAAAGGTAGGACTGACTGAACTCAAACTCCTCTATGTTGAATTTCTTCATGAAGGGAAGTCGCATGACATTCAAACATGAGAAAATCCAACATCTCCCTGTATGGAAAAACATTCAAAATGTTTTTTTGTTTTATTTTTTTGTATTTTACATCCTGGCATAAAATTGGCATATTTTTACAGTACCACAAGGCAAATACCTGAGTTTTTCTGGTTGGTGATGGGCTTGCCCTCTGTGGGAATAGAGTGCTGGAAGACGTGCACAGTGTCCTGTACAGTCTGTCGTTGCAGACAAACCTCCAATGGGTCGATGCATGTCGACACGTTCTGTGCCAGCAGGTAGCGTGGCTCGGCCTGCAGCCGTTTGGTGAAGTTTGCAACCTTCTCTGGACTCAAACCTGAAGAACGAGGAAGATAAGGAAGAGAACAAGGACATTTAATACAAAGGTACAACAGAAGGAAGGCTGAAGAAAAATAAAAGCAGTATATAAACTTGTATATATAACAAATTGTGGCGTTCATACTGTAGCTCCACAGTCGAGAAACACTCTATACGCCAGGGGAAGAATTTCCATTTGCCTCAATTCCCACAACACATATGTGCACTTTAGACATACAAACATTCTCCCACTTAAGGCATATGTTCCTGGGTAAGCAGCTGCATACTCATGATATGCAACAATAATGCTTGGAAATGACTGGGAACTAGCATAACATCTCAATCTGAGTTCCAATAAGTTTGACAGAGTTCATTGGAAGTGAGAGAGACAGTAACAGCAAGCAGCAACTTAAGAAGGCTGAGTCCTTTCATAGTACAGTAAGTGGTGCTGGAGGACAGACAGCTGGTATCATTCATCCAACAGTATGTGACAGGAATGAAGTGCATAGCACAATGGAGACTTCTGGTTGTAGCAGGAGCTTCAATAATACAACAGCACTGATGTAAGGATGGCATTTGGAATAGAAACAAAAACGGAAATAATGGACTTCACAGCAATTAGACCCGTTTCCTCGTTCCCAAAGAGTGGGACATTGCCTAGTCACGCATGTAGTGTGGGGTTTGACCCCTTGTTCCCCAGGCTGAATTGTGTCATTTTCAATTGAAACAAAGCTGAAAAAACCAACAGCCACAGTGTCCAAATTCTTTATCTTACAAAAGGTTATTATGAGCAGACTCCAAACAAAGGGTAGCTTGGTGCTGTTATTATCTGAATTAAATAATGTATCTATTATCTCAAGTGTTTATTCTTGCATGGCCATATCTGAATGTAACTAAATGTGCAAAGTTAAGGAATGGCAAGCTGGTTATGATTATCTATTTTTCTATAGCACTATAATATACTTTAATGTATCTATTATCTCAAGTGTTTATAATCTATAATCTTAATACCTGGTACTTTACTTTAATGCTTTCAACACTGTAAAGTTCTCCATTGTGAGACGAATAAAGGATTTTTTAACTCTTAATTTTAATGCTAATATAGTCAGGTTGCATGGCATGAAGAAAAAGACTTGATAATAGACAAGTCTAAACAATGTTTTAGTTGTGGTTGATCTTCACTGAGAATACTAAGAATAAACTATAAGCAAAATAACCATCTTGTATATTTACACATCACTGGTTACACAAGTGGGTTTTTTTTGCTACTGGTGCCGAACAATACTTGGGATAGAGTCCATTGAACAGCTGACAAAATGCAAATGCTATAAGAAAAGAAGGAGCAATTTAAATACGGTTCATTCTGAAACCACTAAGCAAATCGGTTTAAACATTATAATACATCTACAACAACTTGTCCTCCACTTTAGCTTTCAAACCCACAGTGCCTTTAGTCTAATTATAGCAGATGTACACAAGTCTATGCACTGAAACATCTCCACTTACATTCAGTGTAAAGCAATAATCATCCTATTTAGTCTTGGATTTTTCTCACAGACTTTTATACTTCCTGTTTCAGGTATAAAACTGAATGTAAGTGAAGTCCATAATCTCCTGAAGCTAAAATATTTAAGATGATCTTGTGATTTTTTTATTATTAATACAATACTTCTAATAATAATACAAATACATCATTGAAGTAGCCATACTTCTGTGCACTGTAGAAAACAAGACTAGATTAGTTTTTCTGACATGCTTGTAACTATTGTTCCAAGGTCTATTTTAATAAAGAAAAATATTTATCTCAAACGGATCACGAATTTAAAAAAATATTTGCCTCATACATGGACTTAAAATTTCTCGTATTTTGGTTTTCAAGTAAAAGGCGCCGTGTGAAGTTTGATTTACATGAAAGTGGAAATGAAAGAATACGACAATCACTGTCAATTGCCTAGTCTGTCTGAGGTTACACTTGAACCAGATTTTGTTAAAGGGAAAAACGGTAACTTGTCTCGGGAAAAAATGTCTCAAACTCGTGCAAAACTCCATTTATAAGAATCCCCATCACTTCAATGAGTTTGACAGCTTCTTATTCATTCAACTAATTCCAGGCTAGCTCTGCTACAGGCGCTAACACTTACAGTTCCTGGAACAGAGAGTGGCATTTAAAAATGGCTTAACTGGATGACTAAGACAATATTGTGGTATATAGTTTGGGTAAAATTAATCTCCAACATCATATCGAAATAAACTAAGCTGGCGTACAGAGAAAACAAGAGCAAAGTCATGCTAGCAAACTGCTGTGCTAACCTGCTAATTTAGCCTTAGCTCCCTCGGCTGTCACCCTCTAGCGGTCAAACACACTCAAACGTCAAGTTACCGGCGACATAAAAATGTGACCCAAGTTGGTGAAAGCGTCTGTCTGCCTACCTTTTTCCATGTTTCCAAATAGTGTAAAGAATTATGGTTTTTTTTCTTTGAGAGTCACAGGCTCTTTGTTTATCTCATTCACTAACAGTCTGTGTGCACTGGGGGTGCCCTTTTTATTCACGCGTGGTCCGTTGGTGACGTAAGCGACTAGGCGGAGTTGGTAATCACGGTAAACCCCTTTTCCGTCCCTTAAAAAACCTATAGTATTAGTGAAAAATTCGTGTTAAAAAGGTACGTAAATCGACCTATAAAAAATTAAGTACCATTTTTAATAATTGGGATATATCTTGAGTAAATTCAATTCTATCCGAAAACTGTGAAGTGAAGTTTAAATATATCATTGTATCTTATTTGTATAAATAAGGCAGATTTTCCAAATAGACCATGTATCTTAAATCAGGGACATAATATAAAAAAGGGATTCATTTTTCGGGGTCCCTGAATAGATATTCGGGTTCAGGTAAGCATGTCAAAGTTTCAATAAAGGCCAAGTGTACGCGTGAGCGTGACAAGTGATAACAAATGCAATCACAGCTTTTAATTTCTGAAAAGCCATTTTGTGTGAAACCTAAGGAAGTATTAATAACTATAAATAACTATTCGTTATGGTGGCGTTTGGATAATATTATGTCTGTCAATTATACATATCTGAACAAAGAGCGCATACAAATAGTTTTGACAATCCGAGGTGTGATTGGTGCAGACTTTTAGCGTCAAAGGATTGATAGCACGGGAGACATTTCGCCAGACCACCACCGGCCAAATGATCCAATATTATTTTGCTGGTTCTGTGATGTGTTGTTATGTAGTGGAAAGTCGTTTCACCTTTAGTCTATTATTAACCTGTTTATATATATACTTTTTAAAATTTTTTATTTTAGTTGGAAAGAGTTTAGCGTCTAAAACAGATACTTAGTACCCCCAAAATTAAAGTTCTTCGGACATTTGGAGAAAAAACAAACAAACAGAAAACGTAATTACACTGTTGTCCCGTGTTTACCAGAGACTTATTTTGGAAATATTGTCAAATAGTATCACATTTTTATCAGAGAGTTAGATTGTTTGTATTTCTGTCTATTTTTAGTTTAGGTTTATAATGATAAACTATAAAATGTTTAATATATAGATTTTTCTAATTCTGACTTGCAGATCATTTTGTCACTTGCAGTGTTGGGAACCACAAAGTAGCATTACTCTAAAGAGCTAATTAGGCTACAGGAGACATTACACGGTCCAGCATATTTTCTAATGACTGATTCAAAATCACTGGCTGTGTTTCAGTTTGTGGCCAGCAGAGATCGCCTGGGCACTGTCTTCAGCTGCTGTCGGGTAGCGCGTTGAGTGGACGTGGGAACAGCATAGTACAGCCCGCTGTGATAACGTTAGCTGGGAGGAAGCACCCAGTCTGCGGCTTGTGTTCCCTGCGAGCCGAGAGCTGCTCCATTTGCTGTCCCGCAGAACAGTAAGTATTTGTTACAGTACTTGAATAGGAAAAGCACGTATTTGTAGGAAAATAGAACCAGACAGTATAGGCAGTGAGAAGGCGGACGGACTTGACTTGGTGGTTTTCATTGGATCTCTGCGGCTTACAGGGCTGGTCTACAGCAGAAAAATTAGGACAGAGAAACCCAGGCTGTTACTGGAGCCAATTAGGCTAGTTAGTTAGCTTCGCTGGGAATTCACATCCCATTCTACTGCTTGTGGTGTGTGGATCTCCTATTTTCTTACAATTTCAGAGGATCTAACACGCAGATATTATCACATTTGTTAGATAACGTTACCCTTACCTTCCAAACAGTAGCTCGGCTAGCTAATGTGGCTACACCTATCTTCGCCCTGTCAATGCTTTTTGTTTCTCTGTCTTCATGTTTAAAACAGGAGCCGGGCTGCTTTGTCTGCGCAGTGTGTGCTTACCAGGTGTTAGTTGTCAGCTTTCATTACAACACTGACGCACATACGCCTTTAAAAGAACCGTGGACACATGGGACACTTATTTATTTGTTCCCCAGCTTTGCATATGGGAGAGTCACATTGACACAATCCCTGTGCTGTCACCACGGCCCTGTTATTAACAATGACTGGGTGACTGCAGTAGAAATAACTGTGTAGAACAAAACCGTTTCTGCTTTTCTTCCCCGTGTCGTTGTTGTTATTATTAAGTTCTGAAATGTGTTCATTGATTATGACTGAGGGAGCAGCGCGTGTTGAACAGTGTGATGTGTCAGTGGGAGAAATCCATGTCCTGTGTCAGTGATGCTGCATGAAAGCAGGAAGCAGTTGTTTTCCAGGGTTCACAGACCTCTACTATTGCTGGTGATAGACATAATTTTTACTGCAAGGAGATTATGATAACAACTATGGAATGTTTGGATTATAATTATTACGTTTCTTGTGTTATAGTTGCATATTGAACATGAGCTGTGTAAGAATATCACTCAAACAAACACATTTTGTCCAATGTAAATACTGTAGATTATCAGTATAAGGACATAAAACCAGTGAATCTGATACAGTTACTGATGCATTTGAACATTGTTTGGGTGGTGTTTTCACAACATACATTAAAAACAGTATTCAAAAAACTGAAAAGGTTATTGTTATTTTTATTTTAAATTGTTTAATTTTATATACACTGTATTGATGCATGTTTTTCTGACCTTAAATGTTTTATAGAGCAAAATAAATCTTAAATATCTGACATAAATAAACAATTTTTCAAATATTTTCAAAGGTGTAAGGTACATTTTTAATCAGTTTCAAAATGTATATGTAAAATGTAATATATTTTATGCATATAAAAATGCACATGTTAGTGTGTCTGTTAGAGTCTGTGTCTGTAAGAATAAGTAAGAAGGAACCAAAAATAGCATTGCTGATGTAAAACAGGTAAAAATAGAGATACCTGTTGACTGATCATAATTGTGTCGTCCGTTCATTTTTCACCAGGGGTTTTCTCCCTGTTGGTAACTGACAAGCACTTTCCTGCTGTTCTGGACAACCAGCTCTGTAGGGTAAAATAAAGCCACGTTGGACAAAAACAACACTTTTTTTTGCACCATGTTCAATCTGATGAAAAAGGATAAGGAGAGAGAAGGGAGTAAAAAGGAGAAGAAGGACAAAAAGGAGAGGATGTCTGCAGCAGAGCTGCGCAGCCTGGAGGAGATGAGCATGCGACGAGGGTTCTTCAACCTGAAGAGGGAGGCCAAGCGTGAGTCCAAGAACAAACTGGAAATCTCTAACCCCATTCCCATCAAAGTGGCCAGCAGCAATGAGCTCACCCTCACTGATATTGAGTCAGATGGCCTGAGCAACCGGAGCAGCATGGTCCTGGATGACCAGCTAAGCACGGCCAGTTCTACTGACGATCTGAAAGGTGAAGGTGGAGGAGGTCTGGATGGGCATCGTGCTTCAGTACATGAGCGTGTGGCTCACTTTGGTGCACTAGCCAAGCAGAACTCCTCACAGGTGGGTCAGATGATGAAGCGTTTTTCCTTTTCTCAGAGGAGTAAAGAGGAGAGCCCTTCAGAGGGCTCCACTCCCTCAGGTCCAAACTCTGCTGCTCCATCTCCACACGTGGAGAGCAAAGTTTTCAACATGCTACGCAAACACAGTCTGAAGCAGAACCCAGGAGCACCAGCACCCAAAAAAGTTTGCATTCCTGATTTGGTTGACAAGAATTTCCCAGCAGAGCTGCAGCTGCCGGCGGTGGTGGCACCAAGTGCACCAGAAACACGTGCACTGGAGCTCCAGCGTCGTAACACCGGTGACTTTGGATTTTCTTTGCGTCGTACTACTATGTTGGACCGCAGTGTGGATGGAGGAGTGTACAGGCGTGTGGTTCACTTTGCAGAGCCTGGCGCCGGCACCAAAGACCTGGCACTGGGATTAGTGCCAGGTGACAGGCTGGTTGAGATCAACGGAAAGAACGTGGAGAACAAGAGTCGAGACGAGATAGTGGAGATGATCCGTCAGTCAGGAGACACGGTGAGGCTGAAGGTGCAGCCCATCCTGGAGCTGAGTGAGCTGAGCCGCTGCTGGCTGAGAAACACCGAGGGGCTGCGCAGGGAGGCCAGACAGGTAAACACAAAAACTTTGATGCAGAGATAAGTGTTCAAATTTATCGCAGGTTGGTACATTACTGAGAGATTGAGTGAGACTGAAACAAAAATTCGAGTCCAGTCAAATATGTGATAGCTACCTATATTCATTATGAAGACCTAAGGGGCTGAAATAATTATGTCACAATGCTGGTAATATTGTAGAATATTGATCTTGATGTTCTATTTTTTTCTTACAGTGACCAACATTGCTGCTGTGAATTGCACGCACATGACTAACCACCTTTGTTTCCAATGTATTTTGCTGCCTTTTCCTTGTGTTGACACCCCTATATTACTGTTTAGGATTTGGAAGGACGGCTCTAGTGGTTATGCTACCCCTCATAATGTTCTGCATGTATAATGCATAACCATTGCGTATTTAAATATTTCTGAGAACAAAAATTACACCTCCTCCCAGATGGTTCAGGTTTTCGAGACATGGGAGTCATGAATGTAGACTTTGACCACTATTTGGGCTGGACATTTCCTTTCTACATATAGGTTCTCTCTGTGAACCATGTCCTCTTCCAGCACTGACAACAACTGCCAACACTGAAGCCTACAGAGAAAGTAGTTCAAAAGTAGTCTTAGAAATACAGTACCAGTGTTGGTGGTCTCTGTGGACAAGTCATAATCCTGAATTATTAGTATTTGTTGTCCTGTGGATTAAACACAAGAGGACTGTAGCCTCCTGCCTTTCATATGAATGTTTCCATATTAAAACATGCTCAGTGTGTGAAATGAAACCAGTGCTAACTAATTTGGTTGAAGGATATATTGCCTTTTTTATTTGTCACTGTATGAAAATCTTAGAATCCCTTTTAGCTTTGGCAGTATTGATTAAAGCAAAGAAGGAATATCAATAAATGCACAGTTGTCGAATTACTCTTGAGACAATCATGGACCGTTTGAATATGTCATCACTCTTCATATGTTATGCATTAGCAGTAGCTCAGTGTACACTGGTGGTCTTAAAGTCTTGATCTTGGCCTGTTTGGCAGCATCAGTGGGTTTTCTTTGTTTGCCACTATTGGCCATGGTTCAGGGGTCCTTGTGACACAGCGAGGCTGAAAGGATCTCTCATCTCCCTCCTCCTCCTCCTCCTCCTCTTCCTCCTCCCCGCCACAATTGAATACATCTGCCTTGTGAGGCAGAGAGTGACTCTCCGGAGCCCCTATTGTCTTTTTCCTATCGTAGGACGGGAGCACTGACCGACTGTGGAAATGGTCCACAGTGACTGTTTTGTGGAAAAACACCCACTTGGCCTGTTCTCAAGCTGGTCCAGTTATTTTCAGTTACGCTAAAGCAGCTTTGTTGAATTGTTGGATCAAACGTATGCTATTATTTGCAAAGATTAAACTCTTGGTATAGATGTTTCGTTGTAGTGCTTAGTGTCTTAGATACCTCATGTGTCCTATTTTATGGATTCATAAGGAATAAATAAAGTATACCAATACTTTCCATTGGAGTATGTGGCAGTGACTGCAGTCAAAGTAAACACTTTCACTTAAAACAGCAAGTGTGAGGATGAACCTCAATCACTTTAAACTTACTGCAGTATTTTTTTTAATATATAATGCTTGCTACTAGACACCTGGCAGACACCTGGCACTGCTTTTTCTGACTCAGCTCAGCTTTGTTTGCCTTTAGGAGGGCAATGCAGGAGAAATCATCCATCACTTCTCATAAAAACGTCTGTGTTTATATTTAACCTTTCTCCTGGCTTTGGATTTTGCACTACCTCTCGACTAAAGGCATTGTGAACTTGACATGTTATTTGTCTGCCATTGGCCCAAATACCTTTACATTAGCTTCATTTTTATTTTGTGAGCGGGGTAGCTTAAGCCCTAAGTCTGGGGCTGCAATCTTTTTTCTTGGAAGCAAAAAAATAAAATGGACTTTATGCTGTTTGAATGCCTAGTCATTTAGATACAAGCTGGAGGAGTAATGGCTGGAAGAGACGGTGGTGCAAGGAAATATAAATAACTTGATACCACATGGAGGACCTTGTGCATTGATTTTCAGACTGCATGCATCTTGTGGGTCATTCTATTGTGCATCTACTATGCAGTTTGTCTTTCTCTTTCTCTTATGTTTTTTCAGATATATGGTTTCTATAGCAGGGGGAGTGAAAACTGTCTGCAGCTGCAGTGGTTATTACCTGACACATGGCAGCCCCTGGTGTAAATTTACTGCCATACTGACAACTTAGTGTAAACTGCTACCTCTGCTTCACTTATGTGCTGCACTTCATAGCTTCTGTTTTGCACTGTACTCTTTCTTTTTAGGAGCTTTTCAGCTAGAAAATTACCTTCCAGGGCAAATGAGTCTTGAATCGAATTCCTCACCAGAACTGTGGGCCCTGGCCAGCTCACATACTGTCTGAAATGGTGTATGTGGTACCAGGGAAACACTGTTAACTACAGAGTTTATCACATTTTGCATAACCCTTAGTTTTCCCCTTTTCCCCTTGAAAATGGTTTTTATAATTAGGATCAATCCAGTATTTACTGACACATAAAAATAGTGAACTGAATTAGATTGCCAAACAAATAGATGTGAGGACACACACACACACACACCTGTCTCTTAACATTATACGTCTGTCTCTGCTCTGATTTGCGGGTGTATTAAACAGCAGGGCTGTCTCTGCCTCTTTGTCTGTTTTAACTGATTTCCCCATGCTTCATTGTTGGTTCAATTAAAGGTGACAAAATGGCCATTTATCAGCCCAGACTTTACAAAGTCTTGTCATCAGCTGAATTACATCATCCACCACTACAGCTATCCCTGAACAGTTCTAAGGAACACATCTATAAATGGATGGATTTATGTGTTTGTGTCTGAATTTGACTGAAATAAGAGACATGTTTGATACATGTCTGTGTGTTAGATTTTGTCCTTCATAGATATTTTAGCTTGCAAACTATAATGGGTTCAATTTCCATTTTGTCCTCATTCCCAGGACAAATTGTGTCAGGAGGGTATCTGGTGTCGGAATCGTTGTGACCCCTGGTGAAGAGATAAGCTCATAGTGATTCTTTGAAAAACTTTTAAGCAGTGGAAAAAGTTTTTTTTTTTATGTGACGGCACCTCATGATAGAGCATTCTAATGGCTCAGATTTTATGTGGAAAGCCCCTTTCTTTTCATGTTTTGTGTGTTACAAAAGCTCAATACATGGTCTACTAAATCAGTCATTGGTGAATTTGGTTTGGAAGAGTACGGGGAACTGGCATAAACAATCCTTGTGGTTGTCTATAGTAGAGACTTGAGCCAAAACATCTCCTCTAGTATCAGTGTGTTGGCCTCTTCTGTATAAATAAGCAATAAGATCCAGTGAACACACTGCAAGGACTTGTGTAAAGCATTGCCAGACAAGAGGAAGGTGTAAACTTTCAATACCAATAACATATCATTGTCTGTGGGTTTAGAATGTAAAGTATGAAAACACTTTATAGAGGGCCCAGTGTTTTTTAATCAATATTTTATTGCTAGTTTGACCTAAGTGTTTTAACCTGACCCTATTCAGCTTGACTTGACAACCCATATAGGGTCAACGAGAGATTAACACTGATTTAGAGTTGAATGGCCAAGGAAGTAAATGATGGGATCTCTCTCTTTGATTTGGGATAATGGCCAGGCTTAAACACATGTTTTATTATGGTCTGATGAGGTGCTGACATCGTGTGAGGACAAACAACATGGTCATCAACATGTCAGATCATGAATGACCGGCAGATTCTCCTCCAGATCAAGAGCCCTACACAGACCTCAGCCTCCTCCAATAAATCATGATAGCTGTCCTTTTGTAATGCAGTGTTTGTGTTTTAGGTTGCAGAGCTTTCCTAGCCTATGCAGCACTAAAGGTGCAGGAAGTGCACTCCAGTTACATGCTCTGTAAATCTTCACATGACGACA